GATCCCTGTCAGAGCAGTTGGTGGTGGTAGCCAGGCACCATCTAGTTGTGCTGGACTCAGTCTGGCGGAGGCTGTAGTACTTGTGGTCCATTAGTCATTTAAACTAATCTTTCCCTTGTGTCTTTGATTTTCTTCATTCTTCTTTCCTCCAGATGGGGTCACACCAGTGGAGTATCTTAGATGGCTGCTCACAAGCTTTTAAGACCCCAGACACTACTCACCAAAGTAGAATGTAGAACATTATCTGTATAAACTATGTTATGCCAATTGAGCTAGATATTCCCTGAGACCCTGGTCCCCATAGCCCTCAGCCCAGTAATTGTATCCCTCAGTGAGTTTGAATGTGTCTATGGAGCTTTCATGACCTTGCCTTGGACAAGTTGTGCTGGCTTCCCCAGTACTGCGTACTGTCTTACCCTTCACCAAAGTTACCACCTATCTATTGTCTATTTAGTGTTTTTCCCTCCCCACTCCTCCCCTCCCTCGTAACCATCAAAGATTGTTTCTTTTTGTGTGTAAACCTTTTCATGAGTTTTTATAGTAGTAGTCTCATACAATATTTATCCTTTAGTGACTGACTTGTTTGACTCAGCATAATGCCCTCCAGATTCATCCATGTTGTGAGATGCTTTGCGGATTCATCATTGTTCTTTATCGTTGTGTAATACTCCGTTGTGTGCATGTACCATAGTTTGTTTATCCATTCATCTGTTGATGGGCACCTAGGTTGTTTCCATCTTTTTTCTATTGTGAACAATGCTGCAGTGAACATGGGTGTGCATGTGTCTATTCGTGTGATGGCTCTTATTTCTCTAGGATATATTCTTAGGAGTGGGATTGCTGGATCATATGGTATTTGTATTTCTAGCTTTTTAAGGAAGTACCATATTGTTTTCCAAAATGGTTGTTCCGTTTTGCATAAACACCAGCAGTGCATAAGAGTTCCTATCTCCCCGCAGCCTCTCCAACATTTGTTATTTTCTGTTTTTTTTTATTCGTGCCAGTAATGTGGGGGTGAGATGGTATCTCATTGTGGTTTTGCTTTGCATTTCTCTAATGGCTAGTGATAGTGAGCATTTCCTCATATGTCTGTTAGCCATGTGAATGTCTTCTTTGGTGAACTGTCTGTTCATATCCTTTGCCCATTTTTTAGTTGGATTATTTGACTTTTTGTTGTAGGGGTGTTGGATTTTCCTGTAGATTTTAGAGAATAAACTTATGTCAGATTTGTCATAACAAAAATTTTTTTTCCTAATCTGTACATTCTCTTTTAACTCTTTTGGTGAAGTCTTTTGATGAGCACAAGTATTTAATTTTTAGAAGATCCTAGTCATGTAGCTTAACTTCTGGAGTTTTTGTTATTATTAGTTATGGTTTGTATCCTGTTAATGCCATGTATTAGGGCCTCTAGCATTGATTCTATTTTTCCGTCTATGATCTTTATAGTTTTTGGTTTTATATTTAGGTACTTTGATCCATTTTGAACTAGTTTTTGTGTATGATGTGAGGTATGGGTCCGGTTTCATTTTTTTGTAGATGGACATTCAGTTTTGCCAGCATCATTTGTTAAAAAGACTGTCTTTTCCCCATTTGGTGGTCTTTGGACCCTTATCAAAGATAAGGTGACTGTAGGTGGATGGATTTATATCTGGGTTCTCAACTCTGTTCCATTGGTTAATGTATCTGTCATTGTACCAGTACCAGGCTGTTTTGACTACTGTAGCTGTATAGTAGGTTCTGAGGTCAGATAGTGCGAGTCCTCCTACTTTAATCTTCTTCTTCAATAGCGCTTTTCTTATCTGGGCCTCTCCCCTTTCCATATAAGGTTAATGATTAGTTTTTCCATCTCTTTAAAGAATGCTGTTGGTATTTGGATTGGGTTTGCATTGTATTTGTAGGTTGCTTTGGGTAGAATTGACATTTTCACAATGTTAAGTCTACCTATCCATAAGCATGGTATGTTTCTCCATTTATGAAGTTCTCTTTTGGTTTCTTGTAGTGGTGTTTTGTAGTATAGGTCTTTTACATCCCTGATTAGATTTATTCCTAAGTATTTTATTTTTTTAGGGGCTATTATAAATGGTCTTGTTTTCCTGATTTCCTTTTCATCGTTTTCTTTATTAGTGTATAGGAATCCAACTGATTTTTGTATGTTTAGCTTGTATCTTGCTACTCTGCTGAATCTTTCTATTACTTCCAGTAGTTTTCTCATGGATTCTTTCGGGTTTTCTATGTATAATATCATATCATCTGCAAATAGGGACAGTTTTACTTCTTCATTACCAATTTGGATACCCTTTATTTCTTTTTTCTTGCCTTATTGCTCTAGCTAGGACTTCCAGCACAAAGTTAAATAGCAGTGGTGATAAAGAGCATCGTTTTTACATTCTTTATTGCATACTAAGTCTCCAAAATTTATATGTATTTTATACTTACAGTACCTCTCGATTTGGACCAGTCACATTTCAAGTGTTCAATAGTCACATGTGGTCAGTGGCCATTGTATTTGACAGCATAGATTTAGACTCTATCATGTAGGTGGGGGGAAGGGGAAACACAAAAGGATTTTAAAGCAGAGACTATCGACCCGTTCTCCCATGGCATTCCTAGAAGTCACTATATTAAATTCAGCAGTTATTTGATCCATAGTAGCTGTGTAGAATCTACTGGACAGGGACTGGGGAATAGGAAGATGGATTACAAAGGACACCTTCATCAACAAGGGAAAGTCAGTGCCTTAGTAAAAATAACAGCAATGTGCTATGGGAACATAAGAATCTGGTAATTCTGATCACTGTGATTCAGTGAAGAAAAGGACACCAACAATTATTGAGGGTCCATCATATGCTATGAACACAACTAGACTTTCAAATTTTTTATCATGTTTCATTCTCATAACAACCATAGAGACTGGCATTTTGACCTTTTATTTAGAGATGAAAAAGCTTGATTTTAGATAAATTTTAGACCTTTAGAAAGAAATAGAGTGGGGATTAGAACTCAGCTTTCACTCCACAGCCCCCGTTCACCACAGAAGAACTAGTATTTAAGTTGGCCTTAATAGTGGACAAGAGTGCCCAGTAATTGGATAAATGAATGAAACCCCTTAAAACTCTTTCCTATTGTTTTTCAGAACAGCACTCCCTTCTGGTGTTTTCCTTCTTTCATGACCACCTCCTCTGATTTTCTTCAAGGGCAGTTCTTCTTCCTTCTATATAAATGTTGTAACAGAAGACTTGTACAACTGTTACCAAAAGCTGGAGTTCCCACATGGATGTTGATGTTGCCCAGCATCCTGTCCTTGGTCCTTCTTGGTGTTTTCATTAAACTCTCCATCCTGACTCTCACATGTAGTCCCCCACTGCAGCCCTTATCTATACATCAGGGCATGCCAGTCATTCATTTCACTGGGGATCCTGGCTGAGTGCTGCTCTGTGCCAGGCACTGTGCTACAGCTACCACAAACTTACACAGCATTTGTGCCGGAGATACACAGACTAATAAGATAGTTCAGCCTTCTTATAGCTCAAGTTTAGGTAGTTGATAGGCAAAGAGGAGGAACTGGAGAAGATCCATAGAGAGATATATTATAGTACAACATAGACAAAGCATTATGGGAGGAGAGATGAAGATATGACTAACTCTGTTAGGAGAACCAGGGAAGGATTCTCAGACATAAGATGATTTAGACATAAGATGATTTAGACAAATCGAGAAGGGTGTTGTGTTTGCAGCAATATAAAGTATGGATGGCATGTCTGACAAAGGAAATAAAAAGAGAGTTGCTCAAAATAGGATGGTAGATTTGGGGAATTATGAGAGTCTAGACACGAGCATTCAATATTGAATATACCATGGACTGCCAAAAGAACAAACAAATCAATCTTAGAAGAAATACTACCAGAATGTTCCTAAGAAGCGAGGATGGTGAGACTTTGGCTCTCTTACTTTGGACATATCATCAGCAAAGACCGATCTCTAGAAAAGGACATCATGTTTAGTAGAGGACCAATGGAAATAAAGGGAAATCCTCAATGAGATGGATTGACACAATAGCCACAACAATGGACTCAAACATACCAATGATCATGAAGATGGTACAGGACCAGGCAAGGTTTCGTTCTGTTACACATAAGGTCACCACGAGTTCGGGTGACTCTATGACAACTAACATAACAACAATAGAAGAGAGCAAAAGTAGGGGAAAGGAGCAGAGGGAGATGGGAATGCAAAGGAAGGTAGGAGCCAGATCATGATGGGACTTATATTTGATCCTACAGGCAATGGAGAGTTATTAGAAGATTTTAAGTAAAAATTTATATTCTGGCATTGATCAGAGCAGGTAGAAGCTCAGGGAAGCTATGTATATGGTTGGTCTGATCCTGTTCCCCTCATCTTAAAACAGACAAACAGGACTGACATCTGCTAAATTCATTTTTTCCGTTCATTTCATTTAGGACTGAGTGATGCACTATCATCTAAACACTCTAAGCTTCACTTTTTCCCTGGTGTCTCTTCACATTTCAGCCCTAAACATGAAGATGAAGATAAAAAAATGAAGGAGAACGACCCATGTAAACTGGAACCTCAGAAAATAGAAAAGCATCCTCATGTAAACCAACTTTTCAAGGTATTTGTGTTCTCAGATTTCTGGCCAAACAGTACAGTTCACCCGTGTAATAGTATCAGTTCATAGGGGGACTTTAAGAGGCTGAGACATGCAGATCTCTAGTGAGATAGTCAGAAGATACAATGGGTGGTGGGAATTTTACGAAGAAAATGAATATGACAGTAACACAACGTTCTAGTCCTAGATTTTCCATGATTAGCCCTCAGGTCTTAGAAGCAGGGCTAGGACTAGGATGAGGTAAGAAAAGTGCCCGGGATGCAAAATTTAAGGAGGCCCTCACTCTCGGGTGCCGACTCTGCCCTTGCACGACTCTGGAATGAGTGCCTCCTTAAATGTTGTGCCCTGGGCCCTGCTTAGCAGAGTGATATAGTCTATGAGTTCAATCATCTCACCTGTCAAATGAGAATAAATAATCCCTACCCAACTACCAGGGAGCCCTGGTGGTGCAGTGGTTAAAAGCACTCAGCAGGCAATTGAAAGATCAGTGGTACAAACCCACTAGCCACTCCCCAGGAGAAAGAAGTGGCAGTCTGCTTCTGTAAAGATTACAGCCTTGGAAACCCTGTGGGACAGTTGTACTCTGTCCTGTAGGTTCACTGTGAGTCAGAATTGACTCAATGGCAACAAGATTTTTTGTTTTGTTTTTTACCTGACTACCATCCCCACTGCCACTCCAATTCTTTCTTGCTTGTGGTGATAAAATGAGTAATGTGCATAAAAGTGCTTTGTAAGCTATAAGCTATCATAGAAATGAAATGTATTGCTCTTGCTTTTATTAATATCAAACTGTGTGTGTGTGTATGTGTGTGTGTGTCCATGTCCAGTTGACATCATCCTCCTCAAACTAGTTAGTGTAGTGGGAGGCTTAAATAATACATACCACCTGGGCTACTACCATTGCTCAAAACTTTCTTGCATGCCTGTTTGAGATTTGCCTACATTATCATCTCTTAATACCAGGTTATCCCAGTGCCATCTACAGGGCTGGGGTGAACCAAACTGTGCTGTGGGTCTGAGCTGGTGCTGTGGGACTAACTTGGTGTGTAGGCCCAGAGGCTAGACTGGACCATGTTGGTATTTACACAGAGTATCAACATACAGCACAATTCCAAGGATGGAGAAGTCATTAATCAAGAAAGACAGGGATGTCCAGCTACCATTATTGAACATTTTGATCAAATATTCTACAGAAGAATCTTGGTCAAAAGGGAGAAATTGCAGACCAGACTTTCAAATTCTCATGGACTCTAGACTTTTTGGAGCCATGGAAGCTGGATAAGCCCCTGAAACTACTGTCCTGAAATAATCTTTAAACCTTAAACCAAATTGTTGAATTGGTGTATGTTCTGCTGTGTATATTCTCAACCATAACAAAAATAAAATAAATTTAACAAAAAAAGAAAAGAGGAATCAGAGCCAGGGAAGTAGCATCACATGTGAAGTCTAGGGATCATGGCAAGGCCATAAATGGGTGATAGGGCAGAGATGAGGAGAAGTTAATTGGGAGCATATGAGCAAGGCAGTAGAAGAGCATGTTGATACTGACTGAGAAAGACAGAGGCCGGGGCTGCTCTTTTTCAGTGCTGGCTGTATGGCACAAGCCAGGTACAGGGCCAGGCCACCACCAAAGGGATATATTCCTACTTGTTTGGGGTGGATTTGAGTTTTGGAAGTTGTCAAGAGTTATTTGAAATATGTTAGGTAAATGAACAGGTGGTCTCGCTGGGCAGAGCTCTTTAGGGTTAAATATATATAAGTCAATAGATACTTCATCCGCTGTGATCCAAATGACTCTAAGGAACATTCCCAAGGACAGTCCCCACTGATTCAGTGCACTATTTCAGTAGGGGACCATACTGAAGGATGATGGTCACTATATTTGTGTAAAACATTCATTTCATTACTTGCGGTCATTTTTCCCCAATTAAAAATTTCATCCCTGGCTATGTGCCTTAAAAGAATGTCCTTCCTCTTGTTCTCACAGTCTGCCCCACATCCCACCAAGAACTCAGAGTAATCTATGCCTCATATCTATTCATTACTTTAGCTTTGTCCAAGCACTTTCAAATGTATTACCGCAGTTAACCCTCACGTCCACCCTGATGTAGTGGGAAGGACGGTAACCCCCCTTCCATTTTCTTTTTAAAATTAGAAAATTTTAAATATTCCTTCCTTCATAGTCCTGCGGCTCAATTTCTCCATTTATAAAGGGGAATGTTTTAATTCTTTTGTCTGTCTCCAATGTCTCTTTTTTTTCAATCTATCCAGATCATTCTGAACCGCAAATCTGTTTGGGTTTCGCCCCCACCTGGCTCTTCATGATTCCGAGATGAAGCCCACACTCTTCACCTTTCATTCAAGACCCTTAGTAACTTAGCTCCATTCTCTCCTATCTTTTCAGCCTCATTTCCGGTCTTCCTTCCCCTGTTCCTTCCGCTCTCCACTCCATGCTATCACGATGAAGACACCAACACTTCTCCAAATATCCTGTGTCTTTGCTTGTGATGTTTTATCTGCCAACTATTCCTTTATCCCCTCTATCAATCTACTTACGTTTTAAAATACAGTTTAATAAAACCTGCTTTTTGAAGTCTTCACCAACCCTCCCAGCCAACAGAACTGACCTCCCATTACTGTTTCCATCTCAGTCAGCAATCCTGCTGTAAATAACACTCACCTTATTGCCTTTGATTAATTGTTTGCTTGTAATGTCCCATGAGCAGTGTGTGAGCCACAGTGGCCGTTGCATCTCTCTATCTCCAGACCTCAGCATGTTGTCTCACCTTTAATAAGTGTTTGGCAAATGCTAGAGGGAGGGATGTGGAAAGAAGCAAGAAGGGACAGAAGAGTGGTGGTTGGAAGATGAAAGGGCAGGCAAAGGGGAGGAAAGGAGGAAGACCATACAGCACCCCTTAGTGGTCAAGAGCCTGGGGCTCTGGGATTGAACCCTACCTCAGTAGATTACTAGCTGTGGGAGCAGGGATAATTATTTAACCTCCCTAAACCCTTTATCAATTAGACTAATGATGTTTTTCTCATGGGGAAGGTTTAGTGGGACAGAACTTGTAAAGAGCCTGCTCTGTAGTCAGTGCTCCACTATGTCCTGACTGCCTCCTGTGGGCCAGCCTCCGTGCCAGGCCCTCATTGGCCATTCAGAGGTGAGTAAGGCTCTTGTGAACTGTAGAGTCTAGTGGGACAAGACAGCATTAAATAAATAATTGATTGCTGTACATGAGGAATGAGTGAATGAAGACCAGCATTAGTAAGCCAAGAACCAAATGGCCAAGTCAGAGCACTGCAGTACCCTCCCTGTTGATGTGTTTAGATGGGTGCCTCTGAAGGGACACCTGGAAAACTCCAGATGACAGAAGTCCACAAAGGGAAGAGGACCATGCTACCTGGGAAGCAGGACTCTGTGATTGACATTATCCAGACAAAGGCCTTCCCTGAGGACCCTAAGCTGGCCAGGCACACCCAAGGCCACTGTAAGTTGCATTTTTTTCCTTGGTATTCTTCACTATTACCTAATTGTTTTAAAGTTGAACATGACCAGATTTCATTTATTTTACAAATATTTCTTGAATATCATTATGTACCAAGTAATGTACCTTATTGAGGCAGCTGTATAGTAATGGAAAGAGCACTAGATTTAGAGAAGAAGACCTGAGTTCAAATCCAGGCTCTAATACTTACTAGCTATGCAGTAAGTAACTTCATATTCCTGCAGCTCAATTTCTCCATTTATAAGGGGGAAGAATCATCATACGGACCCCACAGGGGTTTTATGAGGACCAAATCTAACAGTATGTCACATAGTTAGTACTCAGCAAATGTTTATTTCTTTTTATATCTACCAGCTCCTGTTGTCTTTTGTAGGCTCACGTAATTGACACACTGATGATATAGTATGTCTTATGGATTGAATAAGGAGCCTTGGGGGCACAGAGGCTAAAGCACTCAGCTGCTAACCAAAAGGTCGGCGGTTCAAACCCACCAGCCGCTCTGTGTGAGAAAGATGTGGCAGTCTGTTTCTGTAAAGATTTACAGCCTTGGAAACCCTAGGGCAGTTCTATTCTGTCCTATAGGGTCGCTATGAGGCAGAATCAATTCAACAGCAATGGGTTATAGGTTGAATGTGTCCCCAAAAAATGTATGTTGTAAGTTCTAACCCCTATACTTTTGGATGTAATCCCATTTGGGGATAGGGGTTTATTATGTTAATGAGGCCGTATCAGTGTAGGGTGTGTCTTAAGCCAATCATCTCTGAGATATAAACCAAGCTGATTAGGCACAGAGAAGGAAGCAGAGATGTGGGAAGACAGATGCCAGGCCACATGAAGATCACCAAGGAACAGAAGCTGAAAAGAAATAAAGACTTTCTTCCAGAGCCAACAGAGAGAGAAAGCTGGTGCCCTGAATCCAGATTTCTTGAGCCCTGGTAGCATAGTGGTTAAGAGCTCGACTGCTAACTAAGAGATCAGCAGTTCAAATCCACCAGCTGCTCTTTGGAAACCCTATGGGGCAGTTCTACTCTGTCTTGTAGGGTCACTCTGAGTTGGAATCGACTTGATGGCAATGGGTTTGGTTGACAGTGGGAAACTGAGAAAATAAATTTCTGTTTGTTAAAGCCATCCACTTGTGGTATTTCTGTTATGGCAGCAGTAAGAAACTAAGACAATAGGGTATTATTTGTTGACTTTACTCAGGTTGCATTTTACTTTCATGTTAGTCAAGGCTCTTAATTGCAAGTGATAGTAAACAAATCTTACTGTGTTAAGCAAAAAAAAAAAGGAAGGGGGACTCACCTAGCAGAAAGGAACCATGGCTGGATCCAGGGACACAAACAATAACAGAAGGACTCAGTCTCACTTTTTCTACTCCTGGCTGTGTCTGGCGCACTGTAGCTACCCAATAAAAATTTACTGAGTGAAGGAATGAAAGAATACCATAATCAGACTTTGGTTTCTGAAATAACTGAATCTGAATGATTCTCCTGACTGAAACAAAATAAAATTTTTTACGTTTATCAGTGTATCAAGAACTGATACGAAAAGAAAGAATCCACATTTAATCTGCCTTTTCCCACCCATTCTTGCTTTTATTGCCAGTGATGTGTATGCATACGTTTATGATAGCAGCTGATGAAAGTTCTTCAGGAAGGTTCTCTGTTTTCCTCACAGGTGGGTATGTGGAGGCCTTGGAGGTGACTAAAGAAACCCCTGATCAAGGGGCGTGTATGCCAAGTTCCACCACAGAGGAGATGTATGATGATGTCGACTACCCCGAGAGAGAGAGGTAAGTACATCCCAGCCCTTTGGCAAACTGACTGTGATGAGACTTTAAAGTACAACACAACAGGTTGATGGTCTTTGTGTCTTTTCTCCTCACAGAACAAAGTCACTCTCTTCTAACTCATTTGCTTCAGATAGTGGTAAGTATAGAAGGACATCCCCCCTTTCCAATTCCAGTAGAACTTGCCTAGTGCCTCTGTGGCTGATTAGTGATCTGCTGTCTTTTGTTTATACATATTTTTTTCAATTTTTTTAAATTATACTTTAGATGAAGGTTTACAGAACAAATAGTTTCTCATTAAACAGTCACTACACATATTGTTTTATGACGTTGGTAAACAACCCCACGACACGTCAACACTGTCGCTTCTCAATCTTGGGTTCCCTATCACCAGCTTTCCTGTCCCCTCCTGCCTTCTAGTCCTTGTCCCTGGACTGCTGTGCCTCATTAGTCCCATTTTGTTTGATGGGGCTGTCTAGTCCCCAGCCTAACGGTGAACCTTGGGAGTGACTTCACCACTGAGCTAAAAGGATGTCCGGGGGCCATACTCTCGGGGTCTCTCTAGTCTCTGTCAGGCCAGTAAATCTGGTCTTTTTTTGTGAGTTAGAATTTTTTTCTACCTTCTTCTTCAGCTCTGTCCAGGACCCTCTGTTGTGATCCTGGTTAGAGCAGTCAGTGACGGTAGCCGGGCACCATCTAGCTGTACTGGACTCAGTCTGGTGGAGGCCATGGTAGCTGTGGTCCATTAGTCCTTTGGACTAATCTTTTCCTTGTATCCTGTTCTCTTCATTCTCCCTTGCTCCTGAAGGGGTGAGACCAGTGGAGTATCTTAGATGGCCGCTCACAGGCTTTTAAGACCCCAGACACTACTCACCAAGGTAGAATGTAGAACATTGTCTTTATAAACTGTGTTATGCCAATTGAGCTAGGTGTTCCCCAAGACCATGGTCCCCACAGCCCTCTGCCCAGCAATTCAGTCCCTCAGGGAGTTTGGATGTATCTATGGAGCTTCCATGACCTTTCCTTGTACAAGCTGTGCTGGCTTCCCCAGTATTGTGTACTGTCTTACCCTTCACCAAAGTTACCACTTATCTATTGTCTATTTATTTCTGCCCCCCCACCCCTCCCATCCCTTGTAACCAACAAAGATTGTTTTTTGTGTGTGTGTAAACTTTCTCGTGAGTTTTTACAATAGAGGTCTCGTACAATATATGTGCTTTTGTGATTGACTTATTTCACTCAGCATAATATCCTCCAGTTTGATCCATGTTATGAGATGCTTCACAGATTCATCACTGTTCTTTATCATTGCATAATACTGCATTGTGTGTGTGTGCCATAGATTGTTTATCCATTCATCTGTTGATGGGCATCTAGGTTGTTTCCATCTTTTTCTATTGTGAACAATGCTGCAGTGAACAAGGATGTGCATATGTCTGTTCGTGTGACAGCTCTTAATTCTCTAGGATACATTCCTAGGAGTGGGATTGCTGGATTGTATGGTATATCTATTTCTAGCTTTCTAAGAAAGCGCCATATCATTTTCCAAAATGGTTGTAGCATTTTGCATTCCTACCAGAAGTGCATAAGAGTTCCGATCTCCCCACAGCCTCTCCAACATTTGTTATTTCCAGTGTTTTTGATTCATGCAGTAACGCCGGGGAGAGATGGTATCTCATCATGGTTTTAATTTGCATTTCTCTACTGACTAGTGATCATGAGCATTTTCCTTATGTGTCTGTTGGCTGCTTGAATGTCTTCTTAGGTGAAGTGTCTGTTCATTTCCTTTGCCCATTTTTTAATAGGATTATTTGTCTTTTTGTTGTAGAGGTGTTGGATTTTGTTGTAGATTTTAGAGATTAGACATTTGTCTGACTTGTAATGTCCAAAGATTTTTTCCCGGGCTGTATGTTCTCTTTTTACTCTTTTGGTTAAGTCTTTTGATGAACGTAAGTGTTTAATTTTTAGAAGATCCCAGTTATCTAGCTTATCTTCTGGAGTTTGTGTGTTGTTGGTTATGGTTTGTATCCTGTTAATGCCATGTATTAGGACCTCTAGCATTGATTCTATTTTTTCTTCTATGAACTTTAAAATTTTTGGCTTTATATTTAGGTCTTTGATCCATTTTGAATTAGTTTTTGTGTATGGTGTGAGGTATGGGTCCTGTTTCATTTTTTCGCAGATGGACATTCAGTTTTGCCAGCACCATTTGTTAAAAAGACTGTCTTTTCCCCATTTGATGGTCTTTGGGCCCTTGTCGAAGATCTGGTGACCGTAGGTGGATGGATTTACACCTGCGTTCTCAATTCTGTTCCATTGGTCAATGTATCTGTCGTTGTACCAGTACCAGGTTGTTTTGACTACTGTAGCTGTATAGTAGGTTCTAAGGTCAGGTAGTACCAGTCCTCCTACTTTATTCTTCTTCTTCAATAGAGCTTTACTTATCTAGGGCTTCTTCCCTTTCCCTATAAAGTTAATGATTAGTTTTTCCATCTCTTTGAAGAATGTTGTTGGTATTTGGATCGGGATTGCATTGTATTTGTAAATTGCTTTGGGTAGAATTTTCATTTCCACAATATTGAGCATGGTATGTTTTTCTATTTATGTAGATCCCTTTGGGTTTCTTGTAGTAGTGTTTTATAGTTTTCTTTGTATAGGTCTTTTACATCCCTGGTTAGATTTATTCCTAAGTATTTTATTTTTTTAGGGGATATTATAAATAGTATTGTTTTCCTGATTTCCTTTTCATCATTCTGTTTATTGGTGTATAGGAATCCAACCAATTTTTGTATGTTTATCTTGTATCATGTTACTCTGCTGAATCTTTCTATCAGTTCCAGTAGTTTTCTCATGGAGTCTTTAGGATTTTCTCTGCATAGTATCATATCATCCGCAAACAGGGACAGTGTAACTTCTTCATTACCAATTTGGATGCCCTTTATTTCTTTTTCCTGTCTTATTGTTCTAGCTAGGATTTCTGGCACAATGTTAAGTAGGGGTGGAGATAAAGGGCATCCTTGTCTTGTTCCTGTTCTCAGGGGGAATGTTTTCAGCCTCTCTCCATTGAGAATGATGTTGGCTGTTGGTTTTGCATAGATTCCCTTTATTATATTGAGAAATTTCCCTTCTATACCTATTTTATTGAGAGTTTTTATCAGGAATGGGTGTTGGATTTTTGTTGGATGCCTTTTCTGCATCAACTGAGATGACCATGTGATTCTTTTCTTTCCTTTTATTTATGTGGTGGATTATGTTGATTGATTTTCTAATGTTGAACCATCCCGGCATACCTGGTATGAATCCTACTTGGTCATGGTGTATTATTTTTTGATATGATGTTGAACTCTATTGGCTAGAATTTTGTTGAGAATTTTTGCTTGTATATTCATGAGAAATATTGGTCTGTAATTTTCTTTTTTGTGGTGTCTTTACCTGCTTTTGGTATCAAGGATATGCTGGCTTCATACAATGAATTCAGAAGTATCCCTTCCTTTTCTATGTTCTGAAATAGTTTGAGTAGTACTGGTATAAACTCTTCTCTGAATGTTTGGTAAAATTCTCCAGTGAAGCCATCTGGGCCAGGGCTTTATTTGTTGGGAGTTTTTTT